AATAAATAAATAAATATTCTATCAATGTGTCAATTTTAATTTTTAATACGATAAATATCAGTAAATATAACCCATGCAAACAAAAGCTCTTTTGGGGTCCTTCATAATTTTTAAAAGTGGGAAGGGGTCCTGAGAGCAAAACGTTTAAGAAACAGGGGTCTAAGGGTTGACTGAAAAGTGCAAAGCTGCCAGGAAGTCCACGAGGGACAATTAGTAGATATAGAAAGAGTGTTTAACTAATTATTTCATTTCTTATCTCTTGGAGTAATATTTTAATATTTCTTTCGCTAAAAAGTATTAAAAACATAATTGTTATACAGAATATGACACCAAAAGACAACATTTAGGAAATGCTTCTTCTTAAATTCAACATCTAGCCAACCTTTGCTGATCTGCAGGATTGAACCTGGTTAGGATTTGGATAAGGACCACTTAGGCTAAAATGTGAGGTTGAAGAAAACATCTTGGAAGGAGGCAGTGGCATTTCTCTACTCTTGTCAGGAAAATGATAGAGGCATGTCCATGAAGTCACTTAAAATCGAAGTCCACTTGAGGAGACTTGGTTCGTGATCCCTTTATCTTCTTTAACCTGTCCCTAAATATGCTTATATATGGCAGAACAGAGCCAAGGGCTTTGATCCACATTAATATAGCAGAAGTAGAGGAAAAAAGATCAGTTGCCTTTGGTTCATTCCAGTGGTCACCTAGCTGTCAAAGGTAATTACCTGAAGATAACTACCTTCATCCCAGCTGATTTTGATACTAATAGTAACTGTTAGGTATTGCATCATGCTACCTAGAGCTGGGGAGGGGGGTGGAATGGACACTTGGGTATTTCACTTCCTGTACAAGAGACCTACTTAGCTTTGGACTAATAATTAAATTGGCAGCCAATCCATTGGGGTTGTAGCTAGGAGCAAAGTAAGAGACCCTCAGCTGTTCATCACCTCTGCTGAGACGCCAATGTTCTTGGGTTCTCCCAACTGTCATCCTGCAGAAGCCATTCCAACACACTGCCTGAACTACATTCTTCCCATCTAGTTCCAATAAAAAAACTGTAACATATAAAAACTGATACTCAAGCTTGATTCTTTCCTCTTCATCTCTTGCAGCCTCCTTTACCTTGTGTGTCACATTTTTTAGGCAGCAAATTGGAGGACAGGCCCTGCATTACTGGTGATAGTTGTAAACCACTTTAGAAGCCATTTTTATCTAAAGAGCATGCTAAAATGTTCCATGTAAACACAAAGAAATGCTTCCCTCATGGAAAAGCAAAATATGCAGACAAATACTACCATCAGACTGACAAAGTTATACATACACGATGAAGAAGAGATAACAAATATTGGATAACATACACTTAAAAAAATTCAACTATGTTTCTAACCTTCCATCATTGATGATAATGGGATCAGATCCTGAGCAAATATCCTCCACAATGTAAGAGTTTTCTGAGCATGATACATTGAGGGAAGTATAATTAGGCTTGCATACGGTCAGGAAATAGGGTGTTTGATATCCAGTTGACAGCTGTATAATATCAGTGATGAGTGCGGTAGCACAAAGGCCAAAGATATGGACACCTAGAAATGGGACAAAATAATTTATTACAGTTTGGTCAGATAGAGATACTGTTTATTCTAGTTTGGCATGCCAGCTGGTGACCTCTGGGCTGGCCTAAATCTGCACAAATTCCAGCAGGTAATGTAAAACCGTTTATGGATTTTGTAATACTGTAGCTATTTCTCTATGTATCGGTATCATAATTCTGAATCTGTGTCCTTCTTTTGCCAATCCCCATGGTGAGTACTTCAACCATTAAGAAAAGCAAGCATATAGATTGATATGAGATGGAGATTTTGGATGGCATCCGCACAGTGAAGATAATGCTTGATCCAGGTCCCCCTAGTACTCTGTGTCAGGCCCAGCCCAAGAACAACGGTGAAACAGTCCAGTCGAGTACAGTCCCTTTATTTGCTTACACCGTATAGAAAGCATCTTGCCAGGCTAAATCTATACTACTGCAATCAGTGGACATGCCCTGGGAGATTCTGGGGAGTGGCTATCCTGAACCTCTTTCACTTCCCATGCTCCCCCTGCTGACTGTGTTGTCTCTTGTCTCTCTGCCCTTCCTTGAATGCACCCTCCTTTCCTGATAGCCTTGACCTCTGCTTCTATCACCCTCCTCTTTATAGATACATTCCATCACACTCTGAAACCCCATCAGAAAAACTCACCAACAAATCGGACAGCTCTCCTAAGAAAAGAGTTGAAATTGCAGCCGCCTGCGTTGATATTCGCCTCGGCTCCAATTCCATTTCGGCGTTTGGAAAGGCAGCAGTAGAGAATGCTCTCGCCCACCATAATCTGCAATGACAAAGGCTGGGTGCAAGGTAACTGTTGCAATGATTTGAGCAGGGTCTGGTTCAAGTCAAAGCACTTACATATAATTATCAGAGAGCAAATTTCATTTACTAAAGGGTGAATGCTGACATTACTTCACAGGTATCTCTTAATTCAATGTTCAGAGGGAGGGCAGAGAATGTACTATATATTTTCCTGATCTTGTTTGCAAGAGAAACAATCTGATCTGTTGGCTGAGAGAGTGGCTGATCTAGGATCTGTTCCAGCTCTCTGACATTGCCTTGTGGATAATTGGATTGAAAAGCAGAGTATGAATACCTTAATACATACAAGCAAAACAAATCTGTATGTATCCACAGCTATCCCCTTACTCTTAAAATAGGCCCTTGAAACAGTATGTTAGTTTCAAAACTGTCCTCTGAAGTAATTAACTGTGGGAGAAATGCTTGAGGCTACTAAATAAACTTTGAAGATTTGAACCTAGCTTTGCCATTTTGAAACTCATTAAATACTCCTTCTCTTGTTTGGTGCTTTCTAGGTGTAGATATACCTAGAACTATACCTGCTATTGTTTTGAAAGGTCTCTGCTCATCACAGTGGTCAGGGCTGAGCTGAAATTACTTGTCTCACTTCGTGTTAGCTTTACTGAATCATGAAGACACCTCCCTATGTTGGAAATTTTCAACATTAGCTTTGACTATCTTTTTTCAGTGCCACTCCACTGTTTCCCCAGTATTTTCAGCTTCATTTCCACTCACTTCCATCACATTTGACTAGCTAAAGAGATTTGACTAGTTTTTGGCAATGATATCATTATGTTCCATTGAGCATGGTATTTGTAGAAATGCCCATAACCACAATCATGTGAGTAGCTAACAAGCTGCTGTTACTACTTCTTGTAGAGGGCAACCTTTGAGATCTCAGGGGACCTCTGACTGACTAGATGACTGAAGGAGGCCTTTTGCTGATGGTGATGTTCCCAGAATGGCTAGGGCAATTTAGTGGAGGGTTTAAGGGTGGGAATGGCTGTGGGACACTCCTGGGAATGACACTGGTCCCATTTCTACCCCTAAAGCTGCATAACTTTCCCCAAAATTGTCACCAAAAATCAGTGGCAAAATGAGGAGAAAATTGGGTGGTTTGTTTCCCTGAGATTTTTTCTTCCCATACTTATTTTAAGCAATTTTTAAAAAGTACTTCCAAAATTGGCTATTTTTCCACCAAAGTTTGACAGCACAATTTCAGGGTGTTAGGGAGTTCTACCCAGTCCTCGGGCCACAAGCTCCCTATCCTGCAGTAGAACAATCAAAGTAGCTAAAGGTAGGTGAAATTAGCAGAACAATGTCAGTGGTTCCCGTTCTGTTCAATGTACCTGAACTTCCTTAAGATTATTCCTCAGCATGGCCTAACTTTGTGCTGTTGTTGTGGCCATCTCCCTATTTTGGCTGAAGTCTGAATGTGATTTAATTTGGTTCTTCTGGTGTTTAGACCCTTCTGCTCTTTTGCTCACTGTTATCCAACAGATCTTACAGTACACTAGTATACTTTCCGTTGGCAGAGGTGGCTGTTCCTCTCTTAATTCTCTTCAGCAGGCATGTATTTTAGTTAGAACTGCAGCCTTAATTGCCCAGTACCCAGTAAGATCCATGAATGAGCCAACCCTGAATCATTTAATGTCGGCTTCCTTTTTTGTTGGCAAAAAAAAAAAAGCAGGAAGAAATTGATTTTTAATTAGCAAGAAACACAGTGTTCCCCAAGTATTTTAAGTAAAAAGCCATGCAAGGAAATCATTCCTTTTCAATGTTTCTTTTTAAAACTTTAATTAAAATTATGGAGACCATTTTTAGAAAACTGCTGATGCCATAGATCTCCTGATCTGTGTGTAACTGAGAGTGCAGTAGCTTGACATTATTGCTCGACCAACAGCCTTCTCTCAGCTGTACTGTGTACCTTAATGGATTTCCCTTATTTTCCCCCACAGCAAAATAAGGGTGGTGAAGATTGTATAATTCCACCATAATGTAGACAGTAAGGGGGACTTAAGGGATTCAGTAAGCTAAGTGCTATTGTCCAAATCAGCTTCCAATAACATAATGGGCCTCAGTATAACCATTATGGTGATAGGACTTTGATCAAGAGCAACTAGTGGGATTGAAAATTAACATTTTTATTTTTACAGAATTCTCTATTACTTTTGTTATATATGAAGATCCCCCTTGGAAAAGGCATAAGTCAAGCCATGCAACTGGTGATTGGGTTTAGATATTGAATGGTTTTACACAACACAATTAACCAATTTTCCAGCTTTGCACAAAACAAAGCTGAACTGTAAGCTAGCTAAATGGGTTGGGTTTATCACAATATGCTAAGCCACATAAACACTAACCAAGATCGAAACTAAACAAGTCAAACATGTAAATAAACAGATAGGTATTTAACTGATCCAGTGAAGCATATTGTACAAACTCAGCTTAAATTATTCTGGCAACTAATACTTCTGTTTTATCTATATGCTCCAATCCATTATTCTTTCAGGTATAAGAACATACCAAAAATCTGAGTCAAAGCCCAGTTCTCAATGCCAAGGTTCAGCCAATGATCCTGTGAACCAGCATTAAAAAGAAGAACAATGTTCAACTACCAGTTCCAGCTGTTGAAGAGAACATGCCCTCTTTCAAAATTTCTTTCCTATCCCCGGGGAGAAGGCTCCTTCTTAATCGGCAGCTTTTCAGACCCAGCTGCCCAAATCTGTCATCACTGGATCTTTTGGCTATAGGTGAGCAAAACTGATCATGTGGCTTTGCTCCCTGAAAATAAGTCATTGTATTGATGCTTGAAGATAGCATTGCAAATCTGAGGATCCGGTCTTCTGCTAATCGGCTGACCCTATCCTGAGCAACGGCAAAACAAAGAATGAATAAGAAAAGTAGAAAATTCTCTAACTCACCGTAATGGCAGGGGCAGCAAAAGCCAAACTGAGCAACATCAGGATAGGAACAGCCTCTTGGGAAGGTTCAATGTATGGCATACTCAGACTCCTATCATAGCAGCTGAATCCAGCATGAACTGGCTTGAAGACATCCGTGAGTTCAAGGAAATAGAGACTGACAACAGAAGAGGCCAGTATGGGCAGCTAAGAAAGAAACATGAAAGTTTTTGGGTTTTTTTTTTAAACATGTATATATTTCAGCTCTGTCTTGAAATTCTCTGTATGTTAATAGTGAACTCAGATGTTAAGAGGGCTTTAGGACAGATGCACCCATATGCAAGAAAACATTTGCTCATACAATAGGACTTCCCCTTGCTCTCCTTCCTCATGTAACGTCTTGAGTAGAACCCAGATCTGCTATACAGGATACCAGAGGGAAGAGGAAATCTCTTTCACCAGCAATTTCTGTCCAGTGGCAGACAAATACACTGAATTATCCATTGCATAGACTAGTGTTTCTCAACCTTGGCAACTTTAAGCTTTAAGCTGTCCATACAGCTTAAAGTTGCTAAGGATGAGAAACACTGGCATAGACAGTGCTAATGTGAAAAAAGAAGGACAAATCAGCATGATCTTAAGAACCACAAGCTTTGCAGGAAAAAAAAAATAAGGGCAGGGGACTTGGGGCAAATTCATTCAGAAATTGTCGTGTAAGGACTGAGTACGCTCAATGGCTACAAACAAGAGTGCTTCAGGATTGAAATAAAAACATTGGAGAGCAGGTACAAAATGGAGTATCTAGGAAGCCTTTTGTTTCAGATCGTGTTTGTATCAAATTATTTGTACTGATAACCCTGGATATGATTCAGCAAAAAGTATGCATTTTTAAAGTTCTCTACTATGGATTTAAATGAGTTAAGTGCAGCTTGATTGTCAAGTCTTCATTGAATTAATGTACATTCAGAATTCTTAAGTGGGGCTAGTCACATTATTTTATTAATTTGGCATGTAAGTTGAGACATATCTTTTAAAGAAATTGAGAAATCCAGTGTGAGCTACAACAAAACCTAAGATCACAATAAATAATACAATAAGAATAGTAAAACAGTGATTAAACGCTACACTGACCACCAACATTAGCTAATGCATATATACAAGCAGTTCACCTGCACCCTGTCATTCAATGTGGGTGGATGGTCGCCATAGTTCTTGGACGCCAATCTGGTGCTATATTGGAGCAGAGAAGGCACTGTGGTTTCATCTGCCCTAATGTAGCACCAGGTGGTAGCTACCATTGTATACAGCAATCTAGTAGAATTTTGTAGGGTGTCCTTCCTCACAAGTTCTCTTCTCTATTTAACAGCACTCTCTATTTGAAGATCCTTCTGTCCAAGTTTGATTAAAAGATTAAACAAACATACAGGAAGGAAGAACAGGGGCCTTGAAGTCACCTATTCACACCTGGGCAGCAGGACAACCATGTACACTCATAATCTAATCTAATCATAGTCTTTCCCTCTCAAGTGAGGCATATATATTTCTATCTAAATTTTAGTCACTCTAAATTTGCATCTATATATGTAAATTAGCACATGCAAATTTTATGCAAATCTATCTCTTTGTTGGTGAGGCACAAGTTGCCATGCTGCAACTTTACCACATTATCTTGTATACTTTTGTGGCAGAACATTAAAAAATTTTTCTTACTGCAAAATTCTGAACATAAAAAAAAGGTTTAAATGGTTCCCAGAATATTCATTCAATTATGCATGCCGGCATGCAAGTCACAAAATAATTATGCTTCCTTCTACCAATGTTGGACAAGTCAATTCACAAATTAAAAATAAAACAAATAAAACAAGACAAAAATACTTAAATTCTCTGACTGCAGAGATCAATGGTCACATTGATCTCAATTTTGCAATCATAGTAGCATCACTGAAAACCCCATATGGCAAAGATAAACTGAGAAAAGTCTCCAAAACAGAATGAAATTTGAGGTCCAGTTTGTATAGCAAGGAAAAGAATCCAGAGATAACTTGGTCCCGCACAAATAATCAGAAGAACCCCAGTAGCACCTTTTCCAACTAACAAAGTTTATGTTTTTCTGAGCTGCAGCTCACTCCATCCAACCATCCATCCATCCATCCATCCATCCATCCATCCATCCATCCATCATCACTGGTCAAGGCTAGCACCTTGGGTTGAAGCTGAAAATAAATAAATCCAGCAAAGCTGGTGAAAGATCAGAAGAGTGTTTTCAAATTTCCGGCCTATATGCAAAAGCATGATGCCATAGTTTGGAGCAACTGGGGGTTCTAAACTATACTATTCATATATTCCAGTTTATAGATTATGATAAATGAATAACATACATTAGAGTTGTCCAAAGGCTGACCCCTCTCCTCCCAAAAGTCTATTCATCTTGCTGAAAGGGAAATGTATGCATACAAACATAAAGTTCTTTATTAGCATAAATATTCATGTATCTAAAGTTCCACATTTGTGCTATTTTTGTACATCTGAATATACAGTTTCCCCTAATATATGCATTTTGAATTCATTTTTGACACATTTTATAAGCACATTCTCCTTGTAGAATTCTCACTTTGGATTTCTTGAAAGCCCACTCATCCAGAGATTCAAAATATCTGACAGCCGTTCATCAAAAGGGATGTTTTGTAACATTTATTCCAGTCCTATCTTATTCATGATTACTCAGAGAAGTTGATGGGGCATATTTTCAAATAAGTTACATAAGACTGTGTTTTTAAAAAGCAGTTCCAAGTGGAATTAGAGGTGAAAACATAGTGGATCTAGTGCAGTTAAATAGGGCAAATTCTAAGCCTTCCCTGAAATGAAATGTTTCCAGAAAGTGGAGGTGAAGTGAGATGGAGAAGGCAAAGAAACCATATTATATGAGATGTGTCCCCTTAGGGATAACTCTAGGTATTTTATTGCCTGAGGCACAGCATAGGTTAAAAGGCATAGCTCCCCATTTATTCTGGTACCTAAATGGAAAACACATTACCAAACCAACTGCTCCAGTTCTGTGGCTGTAAAACTACCCCAGATTATACATATTATGAGTCAATAAAATAAGATAAAGCAATAAAACAATACTTTGTTGCCCTATCATGATCTCAACTTATGTCCAAAACAGTTGTTTCATTTAATGTAAGCAGTACCTCTTAGACAAATTTGGATCCCACTTATTATTTGCTGACCCACATAAAGCGCTTTTCCATGGCTTTGTCCCAGAATGAAAAATATCTCATCTGCATAAAAGTTACCAGTAATTATTTGAAGTAATAAAGATTTATTAAGAATGCTGGTATGAGGAACAGGAGTTTTGCAACAATCAGTGTTGACTTCAAATACTTTAGACATGTCATGCATGATTGGTTAGTGTAATATTCATTAATCAATTAAAAAGGTTTAAAAAACCCTGTTTGGGTTTTACATTGGAATGTTAAGGCCCAGGATCTACTGCAGAAGTAAAAGGGTACTTCATGTTGGTTGGGTGATGGAGTGAGCTTCACAATTAATCCTATTTGAATTGTTGAGCTGAGAACAAGTAAAAGAGTGATAATCAAAAATTGCCCAATCAATAAATTGGGTTCTGTTTGCTCAAAAATGAGTCTCCTCTTTGTAAGTGAGGCTTACTCTTTTGTAAGAGCTATATAGGATTACAGCCTCAAATTGTGACCCTAAATCCCACGGTTGACAATACGTTACACAGGAAACAAAAACTTTATTTCTTGGTGACTGTATATGAAAATGATTGGTATTATTAACAGCTTCCTTAACTCCCAGAACTATCTTCCTTCCTTCCTTCCTTCCTTCCTTCCTTCCTTCCTTCCTTCCTTCCTTCCTTCCTTCCTTCCTTCCATCCATTCATCCATCCCTTTTTCCTGAGTATACTACCATAAATGGTGATGCATCATTATGATAAAGCATGAGAAGGCAAGTTGCAGCTCAGCTCAGATAATTTCATGGCCCCTAGGGCTAATTTCAGAATCCCTATATAAGAGACCAGTTCAGACCTGGTAAGAATATCTGTCCCTTCTCTGTAACCTGCTGCGTGAAAGAAAGGGAAGAGGATGCCAGAGAGAGAAATCTCTCAAGACTGTAATTTAGCTGTACTTTATATGGAACAAAAAGGCAATTTCACATCCATGGAACAGTGTATCTGTTTCCCTTTTTGGAAATGTCACCGTCTTGGCAATTGTAGGAGTATATTGCTCAGGACCTTCGTACCTAATGCTACTGTCTAGCAAACAGGAGGAAACTCTTATGCAGAAAGAAAGAAAGGTTTTCACTGCCCTGCCTTTGATTTTAAAATAGTTTTTAAAAAAGAACTTTGCAAATTCATATCTTTAACAAGATACCAGGGTTAGAAGCACAGAGGTTACCTCTAGGTGAAAGAAAGACTATCAGGTAACAGGCACATTTCATGATATCGAGGTGCGGATAATGTTACAAATTCTTGATGAAGAACTGTGAATACTTAATGATGTTTTTAATATAAGGAGGTAAGACAAGTAAGATAATTATGTTTCAAGTGCAGAAAGAGAAGAACATTATTTGGTAGACTATACACAATAGTTTGATTTAGTTGTGAATCTACCCTCATGCCAAACATTTTAGTCTTCTCCAGCCTAATGCCCCCTGGATATGTTGGGATTGCAGTGCCTAGAGTATATTATAGTCCTGATACATCTTGAGGACACTAGTTTAAGGAAGACCAGCTGAAATGTTCTGAGTCATTATCCAAAGATTGTGAAGTATGCTATTTCTACAAAAGATCTGAAAGTCATTTTTGTTCAGGCTAGGGTTATACCCATATTCCTTAAGGAACAGGTTTGTGGTCTGGGCATCCTAGATCGAGCACTGACACCAGATAGAGATATCAAATCAGCAGCAGCCCCTTATATCAGCTCCCTACTCAGAACAGAGGCCTGACATTAGGGATTCATGCACTGGTATCACAGAATGTGAGATTTGGATTGAAAACCTGATCATACTTGCCACCTATGAGCAGATTGTCTATATAGACGTAGACTTTGTATGGACAAGTATAATGAAATATGGAACTCATTTATACAAAATGCAGTCGGTGAAAAAAGAATGATAATTATATAAGTGTATTAGAAATATATACTCACTTGAATAATACTTACTGTACATTAGATAAGTATATA